AGATTAATTGCCTACAAAATATATTTTTTTATTTATAATATTTATTGTCCGCCTGATTCCATTTTTAATATAACCCACTTTTGTGTAAAATTTAATATAGATGAAAAGTTAATTGAGATTCAGTAGTATTATTTTTTTATTTACTAATAATAAATCAATATTACAGATAACATAGACGCGTTCTACATATGTCCTATGCTGTGTTCTATGAATGTAATAAATAAAATATCGTTTCCACGCCAACTCTGACGCCGTTTTTTTTTGTCGTCTGATACATCAATACAAAGAGAATACGTACAGAATATTCAAGAACTTGAATAATAATTAATTTTATATTGTCCGTTCCATCGTCGAAAAAATATTCCTTCAAAAAAATGCTGTCTTTGTAGACGTTTGTCTATATTAAAATACTTATAAAAATTTCATTTTGAGACAACCTTATACTTATTGCAAAAATTATCGAACATGCGGCAAACTCTAGTGTGTGGACATCAATATTTGTTGACAAAATGATGAACCAAAAAAATAGTTGTTTATTGGTTGGTTATTTATTAACTAATAATATATTATTATAAGCATTAGATTTCAACGTTTTTATAAAAATTATATTCACCAATATGTCAAGAATGTGTAATATTAAAATTTGTCACTAACTTTTAATTAATATAATTGAAATTACCAAATGAATATTTTATATCTATGATAATAAAAATAGTAGTCTTCTGTCAAATTATGATTTCTATAATATACTAAAATTGTTTTAGGTAATAATCTTGTCAATTATACTAATATGATTTTAATTAAATGATGCGTTATATCACAGGTTATATGAATGAGAATTTAGTTTTAGTTTTAATAAACTTGCCTTTGATATGTTTGTGTGTGTGAATGTGGCAAAACATATACCGTATGATGAGATAAACGGGCGTCCAGTTGGCTTAGAAATGAACATCGATGAATATAATTCAACCCCATATGATTTTACATACCTATATAAAATGACCGGGATCTTTGTTTCGTAGCCATCATTATTACAGTTGAGGGTTGGAACCTTTGGTGTTGCACAGCAAAATAAAACACTAAATCACCACAATACACCAAAACCCTTTTACTTTTACACTGAACGCGCGTTTCGCTAACCATGTTAGCATCATCAGCAGATGATTATAAACTAGTTTATAATCATAGTGTTTTATTTCATAGCCATCGCTGACGCCGTTTTTCTCGATCATATTGTACCTGCAGGATGATATTGGCAGAAAAGTGTGCAATTTTCTGTTAAAACTTAAAACTTAATGTTAAACATCAAACATAAATAAAAAAAGTATAACTTAAATCATTAACTCAATGTAGGATCATTCTTTAGTGTAAATTCAAAATATTTGTTTTTTGTTTTACGTTAAATTAATAAATGAGTTATTGAACTTGTTTAAAAAGCATATATTTATAATAAAAATAAACAAATTCATAATTAATCTAACCTAATCCTAATTATTTTTGATAGATTCTTTTTGACTCTCTATGATTTTTGCATTTTATAATATTCCTGGTGCAAAAAAATTTCTACTTTCATCAAGTAGGGTAGACGCACCATTTGTGGCCATTGACCCTGTTGTAGCCACTTCTTTAAAAAATCTTAAAAATTAAGTTTTTTCACGTTATTGTGACAACCGTGCATCTATAATTTTCTAAATTGATATATCCAGCGCCAAAAAGTAGTAGCACATATTTACTAGATGCTGTTTTCTTAACCCATTTCTTAAGGATAGCTAGGTAAGTAGAACTCAAATTATTAACAATAATCTGTATTGGGGTTTAATTTTCCATGATTTTTATAAATATTATACATCTGGCAATTATTTTTTAAATTTATTATATTCAAATAATTAATATTTAAGATTTTATTTCTGTAGCCACAAAAGGTGTAATTAAATTTTAATTACGTTCTACTTGTAGCCAGGTTATGGCCAAAAATGGAGCAATCGAAATCTAGTTGTGGCCACATATTATTTAGCTTTATAATGTAAGTGCAAACGACGGACAACATAATATGAACAACATTTTATTTGTTATTATTCAGCTTTTAATAAAAACTGAATAATAAATAGTACCTAATTATAATAATATCCCAAATACAATTATCGGCCAAGATTACCAATCTGAACATATACCGTCATCAAGTTTTCCTTCAGATGAGAAAACGATTATAGAAAATAATATAGATATAGAACTAAATGGAATAAATATGAACGAATGCGGTAAAAATAAAAATTCTGAGAATTCAAAGGAAGATGATTCAGGACCACTAGACCAAACCATGCAGGAAAAGGACTAGTAGACATAATTATGAACTTAAGGATGATGCCCGGGAAGATGTTAATCTTTAAAAAGAAATAGGCTACATCTACCATCAGTTATTACGTATGATAAGTGGATTGAATTAATGAAGGGAAAGGAGAAAAAAACAAAAACTGGCAATGAAAACTTTACAAAAAAGAAAATAATTAAAATAAAATTTAAAGAAAATAAAGATCTTTCTAGTAAAAATAAAAAAGAGAAACCAACGCCAGCTTAAACTTCTGTGACATCTGCTGAATTAAATATAGGAAATTTTATTATTTTAAAGTACGGGAATCAGTTGAATCCAGGAAAATATTACAAATTGAAAATAATGAATATTATGTTGAATATTATAGCTGCACAATGGTTCAAATCTGCGGCAATTGGAAGTAAAAATGACTTTCTTTGGTACAAACTGAGTGTTATAACAATGAAAATTGATGAATCTAAAAAAGTCAATTCAAGAGAAATATATGGTGGTTACCTGAACTAACAAATATTCAAGAATATTCTGATAAATTAGTGTACTTTTCTTATTGTTCCTCCTCTTCCTATTTCCTATTACCTTCATTTTTTTTTTGTTAAAAATATAAACAATTAAGTACCAAATGTCTCTTTTATGTCTTTTTTTTAAAGAAAGTAATAAATAAAATATTATTATTTGCTTAGTTATCTGCGAAATTCAATATAGAGAATATTTTTGCCAGAATGTGGCCACAAATGGTAGCAAATGTGGCCACATTTGGCACAAGGTGGCCACAAATGGGAAAAGTCGTATGTTTTCATAAAATAATTATTTTCTGTTTATTAAGAATACAAATCTTTACAATAAAAGCAGATTTTGAAAGAAAAATGTTTGGAGAAGCACCAAAAATTTTGTTTTATCTCCAAAATTAACTACAAATATTTTTTCTGATAAGTCAAACTCTAAAAATCCCTTAACCTGGCCACAACCGGTGCATCTGACACTGAAGAAATCTAATTGTTGACGTATTTTCAACGTATCATAGTGACTAGATCAATTAATACTTATCTAGGTATAATGTAATATGTATGTTATAGTCAGAGTAACTAATGACTTATCTGAAATTTATTTATTTTTCTTCTAGTCGGCTCTATGGCTGTATTTTATGAATAGGTAGCTAACCGATTTCACTAAGTTGATATTAATACTTACATCTACTAATAGGCATATTTAAATAAAAATCAAATTATCGATAATTTGTATGTTTACACACTTAATAAATTATTTATGTTAATTAATTAGCATAGTATTTAGTGGTGAACTTTAATGTTTTTCCAATCAAGTACGACAGTTATTAATTGAAAAAATATTATGATGTTCTGTAAACGTGTGTTAAGGATCTTTAAGAAATATTTCAAACATACCGTACAAGTTAAACAACTAGAACGGCTAAACTTGATTCTTAAAAAATCATACAGGTTGTTTTAAAAAACATGTGCCATCTCTCGTGAGGAGACTCCAGTGACAAACGCTATGTCGAAAAAATTAAGCTCCAATCTGTTTTGCATTAAGATCTATTTCTAAGGAGCTTTTATATATATATATATATATATATATATATATATATATATATATATATATATATATATATATATATATATATATATATATATATATATATATATATATATATATATATATATATAACTTGTCAGTGGCTAGAACTGTTTATTATGCACTTTTTGAGTCGCACCTCAGATATGCCCTTCCATTCTGGGGTACGTGTTGTGCGACTCAATTTGACCGCATTTTCAAGCTCCAGAAGAGAGCTGTTCGATATTCACTGGGTTGAAACAGCAGAACTCATTGCCAGGACATTTTTAAAAAAATATAAATATCTCTTCTTATAACTCTTCCTTCCTTATTTATATTTGAATCCGTTTGCCTAATACGTAAGCATGTTTCAGCTTCTCAAGAAAGGCCATCTCACACTTATCCACTCAGGAACGCGGAGCAAGATCTTTATCTGCCTACCCCACGTTCAGAGTTAGTTAAAAGTTCAATATTATACAACTCGAGAAAAATGCACAATCACCTGCCATTTGAAATCAAATCCATAACATAATTTTCTTCATTTCGCAAAGCATTGAAATCTTATTTACTAGACAAGGCTTTCTACGCCATAAATGACTTATATTTTGATAATCGAATTTGATCGTGTAAACACTGGTCTAATATTTGCTACAAACTTATTAAATATTTTTGAATCTTCTTTTTATTTTTTTACTCTTTGACATTGTAAACATTTATATATGTTTATTTTAAACAATAAGACTGACAATGTAATTTGTATACTTGTTTTGTATTCTCTTTGCTTGTTTGTTTGTTTACTTTATCTTTGTCTACAAAATGTAAAATTTTTTGACAATAAAGACATTGTTTTTATTTTATTTTGTATAAAACCAATTAGAAAATTAACAAGAAATAACACAAAAATACACTTAGGGAAGCCCATCTAATCCGAATCTGCCAAAATTTAAATCATTTTCAAATGTGTCAAATAAATGACAAAAATGGACTATGATACCAATTCTTCACTTCATATAAATTTATGTCCTAACATCCTTCATTTCTGAGATACGGGGTGTAGAAGTTTCATTTATATTTCGATTTTTTTCAATATATTTAGGCATTTTTACAATGATTTTTTTTTACAATTAATATGTCGTATACAATAAACTAGGGTACACCTAGGGCAGTACATTTCATTTTTCAATTTCAGGAAATATGAATATCTGGATATATTTAATTTAATTAACATATTTAAATTTAAAAAACATTATGGTTTTGTCTATGATTTAAAAAAGGTGAGTTTAAAAACAATATCACAACTATTAACTTAATGTCTACGATAGTGACTTGGGATTGGTTGGCCAGTTCTAGCAGCAATGTACTCCAACGACTTCAAAATTGCTGGTGGTATGGGAGGTGGTGTTGGTAGTACGTTGGATTGTGGTTGATACCCGTTTTCGTCAGCTACGTAGTTAACTACAACCGGTATCCCTTCTGGAGAAGTGTATCTGTAAGATCCAGCGGCTGCTGTACCGCTGCCTTGGGGTAGGTACTTTTGTTGGCCTTGTTCTTGTACAGAAATACCATTTTCTGTATCATACCTGCATATAAAATTATATATTTAATGGAAAAGAAATTATTAGATTGAAAAAATTGTAAAGTAGATTTTAAACTCAATTCTGAAGCTATAGGTACCGGGTGCGTCTCAAAAGTGGTCACCCTTATAACTTTTTTATTTCTTCAGATAAAAAAACGAGATTCGGTATGGTGGTATATGACATAAATTAGGATTTATTGACTTTGTATTCAATTGTTTTTGGTCACTTCCTGTTTCACCGGAAATAACTATAACTTTTGTTTTTTAGATAGCACCCTCGGTATTTTTTTACTTTATTCGATAGAAAATAACACTCTGAATAGAATGACATATCATATGTCAACTTTTGACATTTTTTCATATGGTTTATTTGAAATCATAACATGCGGTTCATAACAAAAGTTTGATTCAAAATACCAAGTGTGTGGTATCAAATTATTGGCAAAAAATACTTTTTGCAAATATGCTAATGAGCCACCCTCTCTTGATATTTGGGCATCTTCCAGGATAAAACATTAAAAATATTATACAATCAAATCTAAGTTTCCAAGCCTCCTTGAATAAAAATTAGTGTTTTAACATAACCATGGCACTATTGAAATTTAAAATATAATTTTTTATTTTTTAAGCGAGAATGTCAAAAGTTGAAAGTTGATGTTATAGGGCTTGTTTCTCTCTACAATTTCCTATCTGACAATGTACCGTTTGAGTCCGGGAAGGGTTTATAGTTTCATAGTTGTCGATTTTCAAAAGAAATCAGTACATGTATATTATTTCGTATATTTTTCATTTTATTGATTTTATGGAAAGAACTGTTAATTAAAATGTTGTATCCTGTATTATAGGGCTTGTTTCTCTCTACAATTTTCTGTTTCACAATGTACCGTTTGTGTCCGGGAAGGGTTCATAGTTTCATAGTTGTCGATTTTCGAAAGAAATCAGTACATGTATATTATTTCGTATATTTTTCATTTTATTGATTTTATGGAAAGCACTGTTCATTAAAATGTTGTATCGTATGTTATAGGGCTTGTTTCTCTCTACAATTTCCTGTTTCACAATGTACCGTTTGTGTCCAGGAGGGGTTCATAGTTTCATAGTTGTCGATTTTCGAAAGAAATCAGTACATGTATATTATTTCGTATATTTCTCATTTTATTGATTTTATGGAAAGCACTGTTCATTAAAATGTTGTATCGTATGTTATAGGGCTTGTTTCCCTCTACAATTTTCTGTTTCACAATGTACCGTTTGTGTCCGGGAAGGGTTCATAGTTTCATAGTTGTCGATTTTTGAAAGAAATCAGTACATGTATATTATTTCGTATATTTTTCATTTTATTGAATTTATGGAAAGAACTGTTCATTAAAATGTTGTATCCTGTATTATAGGGCTTGTTTCTCTCTACAATTTTCTGTTTCACAATGTACCGTTTGTGTCCGGGAAGGGTTCATAGTTTCATAGTTGTCGATTTTCGAAAGAAATCAGTACATGTATATTATTTCGTATATTTTTAATTTTATTGATTTTATGGAAAGCACTGTTCATTAAAATGTTGTATCGTATGTTATAGGGCTTGTTTCTCTCTCTATTTCCTGTTGCTCTTCTACAATGTACCGTTTGTGTCCAGGAGGGGTTCATAGTTTCATAGTTGTCGATTTTCGAAAGAAATCACTACATGTATATTATTTCGCATATTTCTCATTTTATTGATATTATGGAAAGAACTGATCATTAAATGTTGTATCCTATGGTAGAGGGCTTATTTCTGTATACAATTTTCTATCTCACAATGTACCGTTTGTGTCCGAAGGAGGATCATAGTTTCATAGTTGTCGATTTTCGAAAGAAATCAGTACATGTATATTATTTCGTATATTTTTCATTTTATTGATTTTATGGAAAGAACTGCTCATTAAAACGTTGTATCCTGTGTTATAGGGCTTGTTTCTCTCTACAATTTCCTGTTTCACAATGTACCGTTTGTGTCCGGGAAGGGTTCATAGTTTCATAGTTGTCAATTTTCGAAAGAAATCAGTACATGTATATTATTTCGTATATTTTTCATTTTATTGATTTTATGGAAAGAACTGTTCATTAAAACGTTGTATCCTGTGTTATAGGGCTTGTTTCTCTCTACAATTTCCTGTTTCACAATTTACCATTTGTGTCCGGGAAGGGTTCATAGTTTCATAGTTATCGATTTTCGAAAGAAATCAGTACATGTATATTATTTCGTATATTTTTAATTTTATTGATTTTATGGAAAGCACTGTTCATTAAAATGTTGTATCGTATGTTATAGGGCTTGTTTCTCTCTACAATTTCCTGTTTCACAATGTACCGTTTGTGTCCAGGAGGGGTTCATAGTTTCATAGTTGTCGATTTTCGAAAGAAATCACTACATGTATATTATTTCGCATCTTTCTCATTTTATTGATATTATGGAAAGAACTGGATCATTAAAATGTTGTATCCCTATGGTAGAGGGCTTATTTCTGTCTACAATTTTTCTGTCTCACAATGTACCGTTTGTGTCCGGGAAGGGATCATAGTTTCATAGTTGTCGATTTTCGAAAGAAATCAGTACATGTATATTATTTCGTATATTTTTCATTTTATTGATTTTATGGAAAGAACTGTTCATTAAAACGTTGTATCCTGTGTTATAGGGCTTGTTTCTCTCTACAATTTCCTGTTTCACAATTTACCATTTATGTCCGGGAAGGGTTGATGGTTTCATAGTTGTCGATTTTCGACAGAAATCAGTACATGTATATTATTTCGTATATTTTTCATTTTATTGATTTTATGGAAAGAACTGTTCATTAAAACGTTGTATCCTGTGTTATAGGGCTTGTTTCTCTCTACAATTTCCTGTTTCACAATGTACCGTTTGTGTCCGGAGGGTTCATAGTTTCATAGTTGTCAATTTTCGAAAGAAAACCAGTACATGTATATTATTTCGTATATTTTTCATTTTATTGATTTTATGGAAAGAACTGTTCATTAAAACGTTGTATCTGTGTTACATAGGGCTTGTTCTCTCTTACAATTTCCTGTTTCACAATGTACCGTTTGTGTCCGGGAAGGGTTCATAGTTTCATAGTTGTCGATTTTGAAAGAAATCAGTACATGTATATTATTTCGTATATTTTCATTTTATTGAATTTATGGAAAGAACTGTTCATTAAAATGTTGTATCCTGTATTATAGGGCTTGTTTCTCTCTACAATTTTCTGTTTCACAATGTACCGTTTGTGTCCGGGAAGGGTTCATAGTTTCATAGTTGTCGATTTTCGAAAGAAATCAGTACATGTATATTATTTCGTATATTTTTAATTTTATTGATTTTATGGAAAGCACTGTTCATTAAAATGTTGTATCGTATGTTATAGGGCTTGTTTCTCTCTACAATTTCCTGTTTCACAATGTACCGTTTGTGTCCAGGAGGGGTTCATAGTTTCATAGTTGTCGATTTTCGAAAGAAATCACTACATGTATATTATTTCGCATATTTCTCATTTTATTGATATTATGGAAAGAACTGATCATTAAAATGTTGTATCCTATGGTAGAGGGCTTATTTCTGTCTACAATTTTCTGTCTCACAATGTACCGTTTGTGTCCGGGAAGGGATCATAGTTTCATAGTTGTCGATTTTCGAAAGAAATCAGTACATGTATATTATTTCGTATATTTTTCATTTTATTGATTTTATGGAAAGAACTGTTCATTAAAACGTTGTATCCTGTGTTATAGGGCTTGTTTCTCTCTACAATTTCCTGTTTCACAATGTACCGTTTGTGTCCGGGAAGGGTTCATAGTTTCATAGTTGTCGATTTTTGAAAGAAATCAGTACATGTATATATTATTTCTGTATATTTTTCATTTTATTGAATTTATGGAAAGAACTGTTCATTAAAATGTTGTATCCTGTATTATAGGGCTTGTTTCTCTCTACAATTTTCTGTTTCACAATGTACCGTTTGTGTCCGGGAAGGGTCTATAGTTTCATAGTTGTCGATTTTCGAAAGAAATCAGTACATGTATATTATTTCGTATATTTTTAATTTTATTGATTTTATGGAAAGTAACTGTTCATTAAAATGTTGTATCGTATGTTATAGGGCTTGTTTCTCTCTACAATTTCCTGTTTCACAATGTACCGTTTGTGTCCAGGAGGGGTCTATATAGTTTCATAGTTGTCGATTTTCGAAAGAAATCACTACATGTATATTATTTCATATTTCTCATTTTATTGATATTATGGAAAGAACTGATCATTAAAATGTTGTATCCTATGGTAGAGGGCTTATTTCTGTCTACAATTTTCTGTCTCACAATGTACCGTTTGTGTCCGGGAAGGGATCATAGTTTCATAGTTGTCGATTTTCGAAAGAAATCAGTACATGTATATTATTTCGTATATTTTTCATTTTATTGATTTTATGGAAAGAACTGTTCATTAAAACGTTGTATCCTGTGTTATAGGGCTTGTTTCTCTCTACAATTTCCTGTTTCACAATGTACCGTTTGTGTCCGGGAAGGGTTCATAGTTTCATAGTTGTCGATTTTTGAAAGAAATCAGTACATGTATATTATTTCGTATATTTTTCATTTTATTGAATTTATGGAAAGAACTGTTCATTAAAATGTTGTATCCTGTATTATAGGGCTTGTACTTTCTACAATTTTCTGTTTCACAATGTACCGTTTGTGTCCGGAAAGGGTTCATAGTTTCATAGTTGTCGATTTTCGAAAGAAATCAGGTACATGTATTATTTCGTATATTTTTAATTTTATTGATTTTGTGGAAAGCACTGTTCATTAAAATGTTGTATCGTATGTTATAGGGCTTGTTTCTCTCTACAATTTCCTGTTTCACAATGTACCGTTTGTGTCCAGGAGGGTTTCATAGTTTCATAGTTGTCGATTTTCGAAAGAAATCACTACATGTATATTATTTCGCATATTTCTCATTTTATTGATATTATGGAAAGAACTGATCATTAAAATGTTGTATCCTATGGTAGAGGGCTTATTTCTGTCTACAATTTTCTGTCTCACAATGTACCGTTTGTGTCCGGGAAGGGATCATAGTTTCATAGTTGTCGATTTTCGAAAGAAATTAGTACATGTATATTATTTCGTATATTTTTCATTTTATTGATTTTATGGAAAGAACTGTTTATTAAAACGTTGTATCCTGTGTTATAGGGCTTGTTTCTCTCTACAATTTCCTGTTTCACAATTTACAATTTGTGTCCGGGAAGGGTTCATAGTTTCATAGTTATCGATTTTCGAAAGAAATCAGTACATGTATATTATTTTGTATATTTTTCATTTTATTGATTTTATGGAAAGAACTGTTCATTAAAATGTTGTATCTTATGTTATAGGGCTTGTTTCTCTCTACAATTTCCTGTCTCACAATGTACCGTTTGTGTCCGGGAAGAGTTGATGGTTTCATAGTTGTCGATTTTCGACAGAAATCAGTACATGTATATTATTTCGTATATTTTTCATTTTATTGATTTTATGGAAAGAACTGTTCATTAAAACGTTGTATCCTGTGTTATAGGGCTTGTTTCTCTCTACAATTTCCTGTTTCACAATGTACCGTTTGTGTCCGGGAAGGGTTCATAGTTTCATAGTTGTCAATTTTCGAAAGAAATCAGTACATGTATATTATTTCGTATATTTTTCATTTTATTGATTTTATGAAAAAACTGATAATTAAAATGTTGTATCCTATATTATAGGGCTTGTTTCTCTCTAAAATTTCCTGTTTCACAATGTACCGTTTATGTCCGGGAGGGGTTCATAGTTTCATAGTTGTCGATTTTCGAAAGAAATCAGTACATGTATATTATTTCGTATATTTTTCATTTTATTGATTTTATGGAAAAACTGATAATTAAAATGTTGTATCCTATGGTATAGGGCTTGTTTCTGTCTACAATTACCTGTCTCACAATGTACCATTTGTGTCCGGGAAGGGATCATAGTTTCATAGTTGTCGATTTTCGAAAGAAATCAGTACATGCATATTATTTCGTATATTTTTCATTTTATTGATTTTATGGAAAGCAGTGTTCATTAAAATGTTGTATCCTATGTTATAGGGCTTGTTTCTCTCTGCAATTTCCTGTCTCACAATGTACCGTTGGAGTCCGGGAAGGGTTCATAGTGTCATAGTTGTCGAAACATATGATATGTCATTCTAATCAGAATGTCATTTTCTATCGAATAAAGTAAAAAAGTACCGATGGTGCCATTTAGAATCAAAAGTTGTTGTTCAGCTGTTCCGGTGAAACAGGAAGTGACCAAAAACATTTGAAAACGTCAATCAATCCTAATTTATATTATATACTAACATACCAAATCTCGTTTTCTTTATGTGAAAAAATAAAAAAGTTATTGGGGCGAGCCACTTTTGAGACGCACCCGGTATATCTACTACTGGCATGTTCTACTGACAACTGAATTTTAAATTGTATGTCCAATCGAATAAAATCAATAAAATATGATCACAAACAGGGACAATAACAGAAATTTAGGTACTCATAACATAACTCATTACAAATATCATGCTTTTACTTACAAGTATTGATAGCTGCCATAAGGGGTGACGTCAGAATAAGATCTTAAAATGGCATATGGTCTGTAAGGAAACTGGCTGCTTACCAACGTCATAGACGTTAGGGCAAAAAGCACCACCTAATAACAAAAAAGGAATCATCTATTAAAAAAAACCGAGTATTTCACCATTGGAAAAGAAATCTAAAAAAATAAAAGTTGTTTTTTTATAAAATACCACAGCTTAGAATCCAAAACGAAAATGAGCATCTCAGTAAATGGCTCAACTTCGGTTTAGCTGAAATAAGTTATATAAGAAATATTTGTTTATTTAGTATTTGGAAGCATTTTCAAATAGTATACCACAAAAAATTTTCTGCGGAGATGCATCCTTTTTGAGTTTTTCAACTTTAAATTAGCTGAAATCAGGACTACTGACTACTTTCGCTTAGCTGAAATGAGTTATGTAAGATATATTTGTTTATTTAGTATTTGGAAGAATTTTTGAATAGAAAGTCAAGAAAATTTTTTCTGCGCAAATAATGCATAATTTTCAGTATTTCCACTTTAGAAACCTGAAACCAGTTAGATGAAAACAGTTTTCTGGTTTTCAAGTTCAATACCGTTTTTCAGTCTACAAATTGTTCTTAGGTCTGTTCTCAGAAGAATCTCTGACTAGTCAGCGCGTTTCTTATTGGTTGAAATGCGTAGAAACCTGACTAATAATCAGGTTTCTACGTATTTTAACCAATGAGAAACGTGCTGACTAGTCAGGGATTCTTCTGGGAACAGACCTCTTAACAACAAACAAAAAGCACCCAAAAAACTTCCTTCCGAAGTGTACCATATTCATTTATTGATAAAATATTATAAAATATATCAATATTTAAAAAGAACTCGGCAATTGGGATTCGTAAACATTTTATTCATATTTGGAGAAAAATTCATTCGTCATAAAAATGTTTGCATTTTCTAAAATGGTTAATGCCGTTTATACTTTTCCAAATTTCCATACTGTTTTAAAGAAAAAAAATATGAAAATATGATTGAATTTTTTGTCCTAAAAATCAAAACACGTTACTATGGTAATATAATTTCATCTTCATTCTTTGTTAGAGTGTTATTGATAGAATTTTAATTAACGTCTCATATTTTGTTGTTTAGAATGTTATAGAAACACAAAATTTTATTAGTTCAATGCTCTGGAAAGGGTGTTAATGGTTATCGGAAAATGTGCTAACAACAGCAAAAAATATGACATTATCAAAATTAATGATAACCATCTATCAAAAAAAAAATCTAAATTATATTACCATATGAACGTGTTTTAATTTTTAGGATTTCAACCATATTTCCATGTTTTTTTTATTTTCCCTTATAATATGGAAAAGTATAAATGGGATTAACGATTTTAGAACAAGCAAATTTTTTTATGAAGAATGCATTTTTCTGAAAATATCAATATTAAGAAAGTGTTACCTCTTGTAAAGATTATCCGGGGACATAATGTAGATTTAAAAAATACCTAAAAATAATAACCTTTACCCCCTAACCCTAAACTATACCTTTTAAAAAAGAACCTAGTTACCGATCAATATAATTATCCTAACCGAGCCATAATACTTTTTTTCCGCCTAAAATATTTTGCTAGAGCTACGGTGTTACTCACCAATTTGATCATTTTTATTCTACAACTATTCGCTAAAGTCGTTCAAACTAGTCTCAAAACCTAACTAAAAAATCAAGCTAAAGCCGCTATATTTATATAGATTTTCGGACAATAAATGATCTTCGCTGTTTCATCTTCGGGTGTAATAAAGGAAAAGTTCAGGGACGCCCAATATCCGCCGTAGGAGTCTCTTAATCACTCCAAAGATTTACTGGGCTATTCAAAATTGATTTGATTATTCTTGATTGTTATCGTAGACCTATTTGTTCAAAACCTAACGATATCAATAAATTCAGGTCTAATTTGTATTAATAGAGATGAAAATTTTATAGTTGGTCTCTTATTAATATCAGTGACGTTATTATATAATTATGCCAAAAAATTGCATAAATATACCTATATAAAAAACGCCTTATAGTAGAGGCACAGAAGTAGTGGAGCCGAGCGGGGATTTGGGATTTACTCAAGCGCGACAGATACATACATAGGGTTTCCATACAAGCTTTTTGGAAATTCTGGAGAAGTGAGCTCTGAAACATGGACAAAATCCGGACTTCATAAAATAAATTTTGATTTTATTTTGTAAAGATTGCCTATAAGAAAGAGACCGAATATATAAAGATAGGTACCTGACATGATACCTTTGTTGTATGTCATTGTTTGGACGCCGCCCGCCTAAAGCTTGATTCTCACTATACCTTCCATATCAGCTCCCTTCCGTTTACATAAAATATTATATCATGTAAATGAATAGGACAATGCACAGTATCCGTTCCGTTTCCCTTCCGTTCCATATCCTTTCCTTTTGGCGGTCGGACTGAAGCGTATCGGAAACAGCGTTGTTAAGTTCTTACATTTCTACCAGATCTGTTAACATTTTTCTGATATTTATTTATTCTTCCACGTCTTAATTAAATCTATTACCTTTTCAAAAGATACAAATTTTTAAAATAAAACTTTCGTAATGATATAAATTGTACAATAAAAAGTACGGAACTGATACGGAACGGAAGCTTACGTATAGCGTCAATACAATAAAAAATACGGAACGGATATGGAATGGATATGGAATGGAAACGGAAGGTATAGTGAGAATTAACCTTAACTCGGTAGACAGACATACCGGGTGGCCAGCTAACAATGGACGCCAGCTGTATCTCAAAAACTACTTATCGTATAACTTCAAGAAAAAATTGTGATAAGTAAATGGGCCAAGATAAATCGCTGGAAATTAATTTCAGGTTGAAAAAATGTCCGCTAGGGGGCGCATCTGTCACGACCAATGGGAAAACAGGATTTTTCCAAAAAAAATATGCAGGTGAAGAGTTATTTTTGATATTTCTGTTATAATCAATGGGAAATTTGTAATTTTTAAATTGATTTAGCTGGCCATGGAAATATACCGCTCCAGCGTCTCTAGCTACCAAACTAAGTGGTTTCCAAAAAGCCCCACACATTCATAGCAAAATAAGCTGCACAACTGCACCAATTGAACCATCATGCTGAAATGGCAACAAATGCAGTATCATCATGATCCTCTAACAAAATTTGCAATTCCTCTCTTAGAATTAGATTGTGTTCATTCCATTCAGATGAATGAAAAAGTCTAATCATTCACCCTCCTAGAATTCCTGCCCGACATTTACCGACCAACGATCTTGGTCTTGGTGCTGAACTACTTGCATCAAGGGTAGATTTGGACCTATTGTTATGATTTCCACCTTCGTTGCTATGACTCGAACAACATAAACTTAATATTATAATAATAAATAACGCAAACAACAGGTAAACAAGAAAACAAGTGAAATTAAGGACGAACTTGGATTAATAACTAAGTAAATGATGTTAGCATGAAAATAAACCCTATTATAGTTTTCGGCCATACGAAATTCGGGCGTTTCTGTTAAAAGCAATATGGCGGCACGAAATTTCTAAAAATTTAAATAAAATTATTGATTCTTCAACTTTCGGATATTTTAATCTGTCAACTACCTATATAAAATTAACCAAATATCGATGGAAGATAATGTTCAATAAACATGTTTAAAAAATTATGACGTCGTTTTTTTCTCAGAAAATGTGGATGCATGAAAACTAAAATTAGGATAAATGAAAACTAAACTTAAACGTTTTGATATTTTGACGTAACCAATTTACCTTCTTTTTGTTTCCTAGCCTACTATGTATTATACTTTTTGTACCTTATAATCCTAGGCGGGAACCTAACATGCTTTGTTTCCTTAATATCTCCCGTTAGAGAGAAGATAGAAAATTGCGATTTGCACTGATATTTTGGAAATTTTGTGATCTATTTGACTGTGTAAAAAGATACATAACCTGCTATTTAATTTTTTTATGCAAAAGGCCAATATCTGTTGCGATGTCAAACAACGCCCTCTAGCTACCATGAAAAAATGTATGAAAACAAAATTTATACTGTAGATTATTAAGAAAGAAAAGCTCTCTTAAACGAGCCCTATTTTGTTTAAATCGATTAACTCGAACTAGAGTTATCCTTATTTTAATAAAAGAAAGTTTAAACTTCCCCCACCGCTTTATTTCATGAGCAAAATACGCTATATCAAAAATATTACAACTTTTTTATTTTTTACAATAGCAGTATATAAAATACCTCTTCGCCTGCACATTTTTGAGAAAAATCCTGTTTTCCATTGGCCATCACAGATACGCCCCCTAGCGAACGTTTTTCGAACTTGAAAATAATTTCTTATCTATGGTATATTTTTTCCCTAAAATAATTATATAAGTTCTGTCTTAGTTGGCCACCCGGTACAGACTTTATTTTAAAGAGGAAATTAAAGGCACTCAAAATAGTGTTAAGTATAGTGATGTAAAATTACTGGTAATTTATAAATCGGTAATATCACCGATAATATTACGTAATATTACGGTAATATTGGTAATTTTTAAAAAATCAGTGTTTTAAATTCGTAAAAAAAGACCAGTTGTTTTTAATCTAGTCAGAGTCGGACTCGGAGTCAGACTGGCCTATATGATAGTACGTAATAGAGTGGATAATGGTAAATCCTCCTCAAACTTGTCATCTGGTTCTTCTTTCTCTTTCTTTAATTGACTCAAATCTATTACTTCGAAATCGATATCTTCTTATTTTTCCATTTGAGCCTTTCTGCCATTCTTCTACCATTCTTGGATGTTAATCTCCATCTAGTAAATTATAATTAGGGGCAATATAAGTAAATTTACCGGTCTTCTTGGCCAATGAACCAGCCATAAGTACTAAAGGTTCTTTCGGTTGCGGCTGTTGACGATAGTAAATTTAACACGTCCTCATTTTAGAGCTAGGCAAATAAAATAATAGAACACGCATAACCTTTTTTTAGCAACTAATTTTCAAAATCCAATAGATCCCCAGGACGCTCGAATACATTCCCTTTTAACATGTTTGGCTCCCTTACTATTAATTTCAATATAAAGTATATCGTTAAAGTAGAATTAATTCCAATCTGTAAAGCTGTATTATGCGTATTAATATAATTTAGGCAAGAGATTAAGATTAATCTTTCCTGTTTTCGCAAATGTGCAATAAAATCGATATTAAAAAGACATAAAATAAAGTAAGTTCTAAATAAGTCGCCACTGCATTATGTCAAATGTCACAATGCCGTAGGATGGCATAACTTAATGTATTTGTAATGTTTTGGTATTCCCATAAAACGTCTTCCTGGAGGACAAATCAGAATAGTTTAAATTTTTAATTAATTACAAACCAAATTTAAAATTATCTGTTTTTATTTTTATTATGGTGTACTTTTTAGTTTGTTGCCAAATAAAAAAATCTTAAAATTCCTCATTTAATGTATATTTAACAAAATTATAATTGTCACAAATATTAGCATCTCACAAATGGGATTAACAAGTGGTAAAAAAGATGTATAACAATTTAGAAATTTTTTTAATTAAATACTCAATTATGTAAACAAAAAATATACGAAAGTAGAGATGTTAATTTGCTGGAAATTCTGGAATATTCAAAAAAATATAGAAAAACATAATACATGAGAATAAAAAACAAAGAAAAATAAAATACAAAGAATCAGAGCTGCAACAAGTCTTAAGTCTTAAGTAATTTCTAAAATCAAAATGATTTCCGAAAAAGTCCGACGGCTATCTTGAAAAAACAGGACGGACGGTCGGTCGCGGACGGTCCGCTCCATCTGAAAGCGCTGTTATAACAGTAAAGACAAATCTATACTAATATCCCTAGGGTGTACTATATAGGGTGTCCCAGAAATAAGTGCAAATATTTTAATTGGTAGTATAGTTCAACCCCAGAAACACGCCTATGAGTTTTTTTTCGCGAAAAAAAAATTTTGAAAATTCGAAATTTTTTGATTTTTTGGAATTTTTTTAGTTTTTAGTTAAAAAACATAATTTCTTGATAATATGGCAACATAGGTATTAGATTAAATTCACAAGGAAGAAAATCCAGAAAAGATCCAGTGGTTCTCAAAATTTTCTCAAAAAATCATTTTTTTGGAAATTTTCAAAGTAAAATAACTCCGTTATTTTGGACTTATTTGAAAAACGATAAAGAGAAAATATGTTTCTTTTCATCAATTCATTTATCAAAATCTACCACCCCTTAAAATATTTGCACTTATTTCTGGGACACCATGTATAAAATCCTTAAGTGACTGACATACTGATTAATCACGATCCTGCTCAAACCACTCAACGTAAGAAGCTCAATTTTGGCATACAGGTTAATTCTAGGGTGTAGAGGTTCGATAAGAAGCGATTTTTGAAATTCCAGTTCCAAGAGGGTGAAACCACCCCTCAAATATTACAATATATTTTATTTAAAAAACGGTCAAGTTTCCGAAAAAAACGCTTAAACACGTATATTTTATTTTGTTTTTTTACATATTTTAAGATTTTTTAAAAATATATACAGGGTGTTTCGAAAAATCTGGTCATTGATTAATCACGATCCTGCTTACAGCCCTTGACGTAAAAAGCTGATTTTTGGAAAACAGATTGACTTTAGGGTGTAGAGGTTCGATAAGAAAGGATTTTTCGCAACTCGAATTCTA